GCAGTCGTTCGGAATGCATGACTCGATCCGTAGTCAACTCAGTGGGAGATCCTAGGTTAAAATTATTTGTAAAAAATCTAAATTTAACTTGGTTTGACCTGAATTACTGTTAGTGATGCAAAATTTTGGTTTAGAATGACTCCAAGCGGAAACAGGTTGTTGAACAACATGTGCATGTACGGTATGTAAGGTACAAATATGACATAATAATTTTTGTTGAGTCATTTTCTGAATACACGTACATATTGTCAACAAGATACAATGTATGTTGTTTAATTTCCCCCCAATTTTCAGAGATTGTGTTCATTTCATCAGTAATGCTAGGTATTATTGCTTCTCGCATACATTTACATATGTACATGTACATACTGTACTTCACGGCCAGTGCCGTGTACTGTAACTTATGTACCTGTACATTTTACATACATGTACGGAACATGTAATCAGTTGTCCTGACATGAACTACATGTTCATGTCAATTTGCGTGCATGCATGCACGTGCCATGCACGTGAATCAAGGGAAAGCATATTCCTCAGCACTGACGTTTGTGTTTAGCATCCGGAGTCTAAAAACGACCTTTCCCCGAAATGGAGATCATTCGACCCATGCAGACTGATCTCACTGTAAACACAGAATGATCACGCTGCTGTCACGGTTCAACGTCAATGAAGATTTGTTTGTGTGGAAGTGCTATGCTCAGGAAGGAGGAGCCATTGCAAATGACTGGACACTCTAACTCTGATGGAGTGACTCCCTCATTGTGTCCATGTAGAATACATCATGCACGTAACATTAATCACATTGCCTTTACACTTTTACAGTTACCTTTGGCAGAAAGGCTGGCCTAACTATGTACATTGCTACTACAGTTTTGTATTCTGTCAAAAAAAAAAACCAGCAGATTTTTGTGTGTGTTAAAGAGAATATGCTTTTGCTGTAATTTTTGAAATGGACGGATTTGGGGACTAGTATTTTATACATTTAGCAAGTATTGTTTTGTGTTCATAGATGCTGGAAAAAACAAAGAAAAATATGTTGTTCTTGTAAGTCTGGTTTGTGACCCCACTTTTCCCTGCTTTTGGGTGGTTTTTTTTTTCCGTGTTTTTTTTTGTGGTTTTTGGGGGTTAGTTTTTCAAGGGATGTGGCCACGCCCCTTTGCCTCCCCGAGACCCTGAAATGTGTTTTATTTTTAGATAATGAAATTATTTGAGTCACAATCTCATAAGGCAGCGTCATTCGTTGAAAAGAAGTGATCATTGTGTCAATGTTAGGGTATCTTTATTTTTTAAATTTTAAATTTTAAATTTTTTTTTTATTAAATTGATTTTTTTAATTAACTTTTGAGTGCAGCGCTAAATTGATACCACAATTTGAGACCACATACTACCTAGAGATGTTCTACTAGGTATATTCTACCAGTTAAAGCAATCAAACCTTAGATGTAGTGAGAGTTGAGCACCCACATTATTTTTTTGGGTCGGTGCTCCTAGTCTATTAGATGAAACGGAGCAATTTATAGACGTCAAGAAATTGTAAGGTCAGGGAACCAGTCTAGCTGGCTTGCACCCACTCACGGATGTGTACCGGTAACTGATTGCAAACAAAAGGTGGACTCACTAAATTTGGTAATTTGGGGGCAGTATTTGAAAAAGCCGTGTTTTTTTTCCCAACGATGGTCAGCCAACCATCGTTGGAAATAGATTTTAAAAAAAAATCCACTTTACTGGAAAATAACAGCACACCAGGTGCTATAATTTTACATGATGCTTGATACTATTCACTGACGGTCAAGTAATTTTTTTTAATAATAATTTGGAAATTTTGTTTTTTGATGTTTGCAAATGTTGTTTATTTTGGCCTTAAATGATTTTTTTGTGACTACTGTATGCACATGTGAAACTGAAATCAATCTTTTCTTTTTTCTTTTGCTCAGTGAGTCAGATCTGCTGTCATTAGAAACTCCCTGTTTTGGAAAAAAAAATAGCCTGTTATAATAGCCTCTGTAATGCTACCGTAGCCTTGGGGGAATTTATGTGTGCACTTCCTTTTCAGTCAGTATGTGTGCATACATCTGTGTGCACAGTACATGTATGTACAAGTACTGTACTTGTAATAAATAAAATAGCAGCACCATATTCTTTTCATGTACATGTACATTCAAGTAGGAAGTATTTGTGACCCGCTTCAGGAAAAGGTGATATGCCTTTACGTGTAATGGCCCGCTGAATGTTGAGAGGGTGAAATTTTCCGTCAAAATCCAAATTCCTTTTTTGTCTTAAATGACGTTTTTGATACCTAAAGTTTAAGGATTTATTCACAGAAACGTTGATTTCGATGAATAAAGGAAAAAAACCTTATTTTGTGTGCATTTTTCTCTTTATTTTACCGGTACATCCAAAAACTATAATTTTAATCAATATGCAAATTAGCCAAAAGATAGTAATCTGGTTTCAAAAAGTCTCTTTTTCCCAAAAATCATTGAAAATAATCATTGTAGAATCAATATTCGAAGTTTGAAAGTGATAGTAAAACAGAAACATGTTGGTTGTTAAGATATTAAAAGTGAGTTTTTCTTGCCCAAATCTACAACAGAGCCAGCTATTTCAAAGCCTGTACTCAGTTGTGTAATTTGAACTCCATGGAACTAATTAATATGCAAATTCGTTATATCTCCACAACGAGAAGGGCTATAGAGCTGTGTCATATACTAAATGAAAGCTTACATTGAGGGCTTTCCAGTCAGGTATATAACTTGAAATTTATTTTTTACGACTTATATCACCTTTTCCTGGAGTGGCCACATATACATACATTGTAGCACCTACATGTACATGTAGGTACATGTATGCTACACATGATGCACATGTACGGTATTACATGTATACTGTATATTGTGTACATTAACCTTCCTATGCAAAAATACATTCTGTGCCAAGTTGTCCTTTCAGTCAAAATCAATCAAGTGACTGGTTTCAACAGTTAAGGAGGATTGACTGGCTGGGACTGTTTAAGTGACTGTTTAAAAATGTAACTTGATACAGCTACTGGTATGCTTTGACCATACATGTAGGTGATTGATAAGCCAGCTGTGCTCACAATTGTCTGCTTTTGTCTGTTGACTGAATTTGACTAGTCACAGTGCTTGCTGTAACATCTGATCTGACTGTTGGTGACTAGCCTGTGTAAAAGGCATGGCAGGGGAAGAGGACTGATTTTTTTGACTGTTGCCACTGTTTAAATAGCAGGAGGGTTAAGTTAAAATTCAACGAAGAAACATAATGTCTGGTGACTTTTCAAATTGCAATAGCACTGCATCTCTATATAGAACTTGTATACTTACTGTGATATGTACATGTACCGTACATGGGAACACGATATTGTGGATTATAAATTCCATTAAAAAACCCTGAATTTAGTCATCTCCCCTGACATTTTATCATTCATAATTCATTGTATCATTCACAATTCATTATAATGCCCATTGTTACATGTACATAATTCATGCACAAGTAATCAGTCGATATAAGAGTCTTTATAGTTGTCCTGTTGAACAAATGCCTTTTATTTATGCCCTTGGATTTGGCTAGAAGAGAAAATACAACGTGAACAGAAGCAAATGAGGAAGTCTAGATCAGGCATCTACTTGTGATATTACATGCTTTGGGCTTATGTCATGTCTGTAGTCTGAGGACAAGGACATTGCCTGCCATTGTCAAGGCCACTTACAGAAAAATCCAATTGTCTGAGGGAGAATTTTCCAGGGGCAGTAATAAGGCAACCACTAGGGAGATTTTGAACCTTTGCCTGCGTCTGTTGAAACTGTGCGTGAAATCAGATGAAAATTTGCCCAAGGTGACCTGGGAAGTACGGCCTGCAAGCTCTCGGCAAGCACTGAATCCGAGTGCTTATGATTCCACATCGGTGGAGGGCAGTTCCCACTATTGAATGAACATCTCCCCCTGGGACGGAAAAATTCCGTCCCATATTAAAATATCCTAAGCTGTCTGATGTCTGTCTGTCTGATGTCTGTCTTTCTGATGTCTGTGTGTAACGTTTTGTAAAAGGCCTAAAAACTCTGATTATGCAGTCATCCAGTATACGGAGGTCCTTACATGTAACTGGCATAATGCACCGATTTCACTGCCCTCTGCAGTCACGGTTGGCACAGGAAAATACGATTTATTTGTTCTGTTTTGCTTTTTGGGCAAATTTGTTTCTTTGAGACTTTGAATAGTTAAATATTACAAGATAATCGCTATGAAGACACTCCAAAACATTTCTTTCAGACTTTAAATAGTAGATATTATAGGCCTACAACATTATCCCTACGAAAACACTCCAAAACATATGTATATTTCAAAACCTGACTGTATAATGAACCCCTTCTCAAACATACCTCAATTGAATGCACTGCCCGCTAGTCATGGGGAAAAAAAATGGTTAATTGGTTGTTTCAGAGACATTGCGCAATTTGAATCGCACACTGTTCACACACTTGATGCCATGCATCAAGTAGGATATTTCATTTATCTGTAATGAGGTCATTTATAACCAGTAATGAGGATGATCATTCATCAGCATGCAAAAGTCATGAAAGTCTGCAATGAATAAATTATTAGAACCTATTTTGAATTCTTAATGCCTGTTATTTGCACGGGGCGTACAACCGTCCAATGTAGCATAAGTAACATGTATGCTGCGTGTTTTCACTTAGTTGTAATTTTTTTGTTATATTTTTTTTTATTTGTATGATCCATTTGAAATCTTCACAATAGTTTCATTATGAAGTGTACAATTTAAATAGGTAATTGTGCTGTTTTCAAATACAGTGTGACACTGTGCCTAAATGACAAAACATTAGAGAAAAAAAATTAAAAGATACAGACCTTAAGTAATTGACAGAAAGACAATCTTAGTATTCATACCACAAGTGGCTTTTGTATGTATGTATGTACTTATTATTAATGATTTTTTCCCCTCCTTTGTTTCGCTGATGCAGATTTGCAGAAATTAGAAAGAGAGGCTCGGATATGTCGCAAACTGAAGCACCCAAACATAGGTAAGAAGAACAAGATGTAGACCTCAACAAAACACCCAAAGAGTTTCAATCATGCAGTGTAAAAGGGCATGACATTTCGAACCTGAAAGGATCTTTCTCAAAGGACTTTGAAAATGATCTGTTGGGATTGAAACGTCTGGCCATTTCACTTGTATGGTTTGTATATTTCAGGGCAATCAAGTTAACCCTATTAACCTTCTCAAATCCTCCAAGATCGTCTTTGCAAAATGGAGGATTTTGTAGGATTCAGGCTATGTGGCAAAAATGTGTGGCTAATTTTGGAGGATGTCAAGGTCTTGGGCCGGATCTTGTGTTGTTTATCAGGCATGCAACTTTTCCTCTGATCAGCTGATTTCCTCTTTTTTGACTTCCAATGTGTGCCATTGAAAATAGAAAAACACTGTACAAAGTCTTGGAAAGATTTGAATTTCCTCTTTTTTGTGTGACTTCCCAGTTGCATGCACGCTCAGCAGTGCATAAATTTAGGGCTAGATTATACTTAGAATCATCCATACTGCTCCAGGATGTCACTGGCTCTGCCTCAACATATTGACAGTGATTGCTGTAGGATTTTGCAGGATTGAGGCAGTGGTCAACCCTCCAAGGACCACATTCACGAAATAAGAAGGATTTTGCAGGATCGGGGCTGATATGCAATGTTTACACAGAGGTAGTTGGAGGATTTTGCTTGATTGAGGTTGCATCCCAGCAAAAATGCTATGAGAGTTAGGATTAAACAGATTTGTATTTCCCAAAGTATTGCAAGCATACAGCACTTCTTGTGTGTGGCAAAGCCATGCAGGCATGGCCGGTGGAGTGAAAAAATATCTCATTCTCACTTTGGGGTCCACAATTTTTTTTGAATCAAAACAATTTTCTGAAGGAATTTGCCAGAAGCACAATCAAATGTGATCCTTTCTTACAATGCAGCCAACTATCAATGCACCATCTGTCATTGAGCGGTCATTGATATTGTACGGTGTCCATCCTTCAGAGATTTTGATGCTTAAGTCCCTACACACATAATAAGAAGTCCGGGTGTAAGAAACATCATGAATATAACATTGACATGGAGACAGATGTTCCTCAGAGTTTTGCCGCACTGTCATGCTACTCTCCTCAATCAATACAAACCCTGCCGATTGGGAAATTTTGCCCTAATTGTTTGAATCAATAACGCCAGTTTTTTGTTTTATCATGAAGTGCAGCGCGGAAGTCACTCGGTGTTTGGAAACATGTGGTCAGAGGAAAGTCCGGTTGTAATTTTTATTGATTGGCTCTGAGACATTATGCAAATGGCACTTAGGGGACTAACCGTGTGGTTTTAATCACTGTCTGGTCTCGGAATTCACCTACTAAATAGCTAGATTCATTGCACAGGAAATAACTAAGTACATTTTACACCCACATGTACAGGGCACATGGTATATTTTGTATGTCTACAATATCAATTCAACAATTACAATGTATGTCAAAGGTATATAGTGTAGGCCTAATGCTTGATTGTTGTTAACATGTGTTCTAATGTTCAAAAAAATAATTGCAAACTTTTTATTTAGGCCAAGTAAAAAAGAACAAACAAACATTGGCCTACCAGTTGATCGTTCAGGTTTTTCCAAAATGAGGAGGAGGGCCACTTTATTTTTTATTTTTTATTTTTTTTCTAAGATGGCTGCCGGTAGCTTTTACATTAATATTGGCCGACAACTTTTCAGTTCAAAATGACTGCCAGCTTTTATTAATCCTAACCTTCCCAAATCCTCCAAACTATACTTTGCAAAATGGACGATTTTGCAGGATTGAGGCTACATGGCAAAAGTGTGTGGCTCGTTTCGGAGGATGCACTGTGTCAAGGTCGTAGGCCCGATCTTGTGTTGTTCATGCTCAGCTGTGCATAAATTTGCATTGAGGTCTACTTGAAATCCTGCGCACTGCTCCAGGATGTCACTGGCTGCCTTAACAACATATTGACAATGATTGCCGGAGGAGTTTGCAAGATTGAGGCAATGATCACCCCTTCAAGGGCCACGTTCAAGAAATAACAGAGCATATTGGAGGATTGAGGCTGTAGCTATTTTTACACGGAGGCAGTTGGAGGATTTTGCAGGATTGAGGTTACATCCTAGCAAAAATGCCTAGCAAGTTAGGGTTTAGTATTCTACCAATAATTCCCACGAATGCAATTGAAAAGTACAATTATGCATAAGGTATTGGATTAATGTTGGTTTGTTATTCACAAATAATTCAGAATGACTAGGCCTACTTCATATGAAAACTTGAAAAAGTAATAAACCAGAAACATGGGATGTACACAATCTGATGTAAATAACACCAATAACAGAAGTACCATACATGTAGATTTCTTTTCTCCTCACATAAATAAATGAACAATTACACATCTCAAGGTAAAAATACTCATTAAAATAAAGCACATTAAGTAATAGCACTCAGTAGAACAAGCCAAAGCAGAATATGATCACAAAATGATTCCACTCATCCACAACATGAGAAACATAATTTCCTTGAAAAGGCTTCCAGTTTTTGCTGCACTGACTGCATGCATGAACCCGCACCAGGTTTCAAATCCTGCTCAGTTACGTGTGTACGTACATGTACGTGCAGAGCGAGGCTAAGTGGGAAACCAAGTTACACACAACCTACTTAAAGTCACTGCCCAGCCAGACCAAATTCATCAAAGGCTGCGCATCAACGCTTTGTAAATGTCACCGATCGGGGAGAATGACACACGCGGTGTTTACTTTATATTATTACTCCGTCTCTACGCGTGTACACCCAGTATCGAGAGAAGACTATTGAAGTTGCATGGCGCCAAAAAATTCAAATGGTTTATTGTGTTTACGCGCTGGCCGCAAATATTTTAGTGCTTAATGCACTATTCTTGTTCTGTTTATCTCCAAAGGAAGTAGTATTCTAAGAGCTGTGCTCTTTGTCTTTTCATGCAACCTTGTAATTTATGGTGTTATTCAAAAAGGAAGACTTGATACTATGAAGCGTTCCAGTGTTTTAAAGGCTTTTAGTTACTCTTGTACAATTGATTACTCTTCTGGGTGTATGTACTTTTTTTCCCCTTTTGATGAACCCTTGTTAATACATATTTTGACACTTCAAGTAAATGTGATCAAATTCTTTTATTTTTACTCTCATTTTAATGTTAATTCCTTGTATTCCTTTATCAACCCTCCCATGCAAACATACTTTCTGTGCCGTGTTGTCCCTTCTCTCAAAATCGATCAAGTGGCTGTTTCCAATAGTTAAGAGCTCCCAGCCCACACAAAGCAGGTATGACTGGCTGTGACTGTATAAATTTATAAGTTGATGCAGCTTTGCTTTGACTGGGGGTGATTGATAAGCCAGCTGTGCCCACAACTTGCCTGCTTTTGTCTGTCAATGGTCTGTTGACTGAGTTTGACTGGTCACAGTGCTTGCTTGACATAGGATCTGACTGCTGGTTACTTGCCAGATGTTAAAAGTATAGCAGGGGAAGTGGATGGACATTTTGACTGTCTGTGACTGTTCAAATAGCAGGAGGGTTGAAGAGTTTAGGTTAAAGAAACAGCACATAATAAAAATATTCGCTTTAAAAAAATTAGTCAGATGTTTCTATCTTTCTTTTTAAATAAATTTGAAAAAATATTGTGTGCCACATCAGCTTATTACAAATGTACATGTACATGTATACTGGTACATCTGTGTTCATGTGTTCATGTGTATGAGTTTGTCTTACATTCACTATGTGGACTTGTGAACAAAAGATGTCCACATAATGCAGGTTGTGTTGACATTATGTGGACTAAGCCGTGTCCACATAACGTTTCGCCCTCTCTGTAAAACAGGTTTAGAGGCATTTTTGGGTTAGGGTTATCCGTCGCAGAATGAAGAGAAACATTCAAGGAAATCAAAAAAAAAAAAAAATTGGGGTTGAAAGAGTTTCCACAGTTCAAGTAAAGTTATTTTGTGTACCGAGTTTTCTTAACTACACGAAAACAAAGGAATGTCCTCATAGCGTATGTGAAACAAACATGGGTGTGACCATGGATGTGTATACATGGTATGCACACATGATGTAAATTGCAGATGAAATACCTACCAAATGATTTTTTTTGTTCATGAAAGGATGAACATCGGTATGTTTCTTTTAACCATTTTTATGAAATCAGAGGTCATGCTGTCAGCGCTTATCCCCTGAACCGGGCTGAACTTTTCACACTGTGCAGAAAGCCACAGAAACCGGCCGCAGAGCCAAGAACATCCCAGGGTCTCCCTAACATCTCTGCAGAAGTGTCGCCGGGAATCTGATATCTTCTTATTAAATATCGCAGAAAGAGTAATCTTTTAATTCGTTGGTTGCTGGTACCCAGGGGGAGGGTGGGGGGAGTGGCTTTGCTCTACCGTCTGATGTACAAGATTTTTTTTATTATTAAACACAGCATTACAACTGTTTCTCTTTTGACAGCCGGCAGGATGCATTCTATTCCAAGGCATTTTTGTAATCTCGTCAATGCGGGAAGCTATACGCCTAAGTTCCGCTGATTAATGTTGTGAATAAAAACAGTTGGCGTAGTGACTGTGATGATGTTTAATTGGAATATAGATTTAGTGTTTGGTGGGACTGAGGGTGTACAGGATAATGAGTAATAAAAATTCAGGCAACTATAAGTAAAGGTGCGAAAGCGAACGCGAATGCGAATTTGTGATGTCAGGGCAAGTTTTCGCGCTGTGAATTTACAGCAAAAGTTGAACACATTTCAACTCTGCCGAATTTCGCAGCGAATGCTTTGTGAAGTCATATTTGCATTCACATACACAATGGGCTGTATTTGGGATAACCCTATGGGCTCCGTGCACCGACAAAAGAGGGCGCCCTTTTACCTAGCAACGACGTCCCATGGGCGGGACATTTCGCTGGTTGACGCGCACCGTTCCTTGTGTGTGATGCACGTACACAAGGGGATTTGTACTATGTACACACAGTGGTCGTG